AAGGAAACTGGATTAAAAAGGGCTCGCTCTAACCCCTCCCCAAGGAGGGGTTAAAATGCCTTTTAAATAAAAAAATTTAAATAAATATTATAAAGCAGGAACCCGTTTTTTTATATGGTAAAGATATTAGTTTGATATAAACACCACGTTTTGAAACAGGAAATTTGTTTTTCTTTGAAACTAAAAATTAAAACATAAACTATTTTTAAAATTAAATTTTCCTTAAACAAATTTTCAAATTTATCGTCAAAAAATTCAAAATGACTTTACCCGATTTAAAGGTTTTAAATCCTAAAATAGAAATTATTTTTGAAAAGGGGTGATGTCCCAAAGGGCTTTAATTTTTTTTAAAAATAGCCCGGTTTGGGGGGTAACGTGGGGGTTTTTTTCAAAAAAAAGGTCGGGTAATTAAGCTTTTTTTTGATATAAAAATGCAACGCCTCGTTACAAATTTTAGGGGGTTTAAATTTTTTTTATAGAAAATTAAAAAGGGGTTTTAAAATGAATATAAAAAGGTCCTTCTGGAAAAAGGTTTAAACTTTATTTCAGATAGCACAAAAGTTTTGTAAAAAAAAATTTATTGTGTATCTAGGGAAGATAGAAAAATTTGGGGAACTTAAAAGACGAACAATAAAAAAATTGGGAAATTAGGGGTTGCAGACTTTGGTCTGATTTAACCCTATTTAGGGAGTCGTAAAATCCCCGGGCCGCCGTATATTTGTATGTTGGGGCCGTTTTATTTTTTAAAATATAAAAAGGGAAAATTTTTAAAATTTTTATAAAAAATTTAATAAAATAATTTATAATTTTTAGTCCCCCCCTTTTTTAAAAAAACCCGATTTTTTTTTTTTTTAAGTGTCTGTTTTCGTTTTTTCCCAATTTAAAAATATCTAAAATTATATTTTTAAAATATGACTATTTTTTTTAAATGCTTTTTGGAATTACTGGTTATCAAAAAATATTTTAATAATTTCATTTTTAATGTAAATACACACACACACACACACACACACTTCAAAAATTTAAAACAAATTATTAAATTTTTAAATTTTTTTCACACATTATGTGTTTGTTGTTGATGTGTTGGTTGTTTTTGTTTTTTTTTTTTTTTTTTTTTCACACACACACACCCTGGGGTAAGCAAAAATTACTTAGGGGTAACCAGAAAAAATTTTAAATAAATTTTTATCTTTATTTAAAAAAATTTGACACCCCTGCGGGGTAAATTTATACATAAATTGGCAAACTCAGAACAACAAAACTGTATGTTTTTTATGTTCGTTCTTGATAGTTTTACTGAAAACCCGCACCCACACAACACCCCACACACACACACCACACACAGACACACACCCCAACACAAAACACACCACAAAACACACACATTATATCTAGCCCCATAAACATCAATTCTCTGTTTCAAAACCCCAAAAAAAATGCATGGCAGATGTGAAAGCGTTTTTTAAATTTTAACGGATCTAAAAAAATTTAAAAAATTTTCCCCTTTTTAAATTTAAACGGAACAGACCCTTTTTTAATGATTACATTGTCTATAAAATTAAATTGTTCAAAAGAAATCATTTTTTTCTTTTTTTTGTTTGGTTTTCGGGTTTTGTGTGTTTTTTTTTTTTTTTAAATTTTCCCAATTTTAAAAAATTCCCTTTCTATCGTGTCTAAAAATTTCTTTTTTAAAGCCCTGTTCAATTTATTTTAAAGGGGAAAAATTGGGTGTTTTAAATTTTAAAATCTATGTTTGAGTATGTGAGCATGCTGTTTTGCGGTTTTTTTTTTGTTTTTTTTTATTTTTTCTTTTTTTTTCTCCCCTTTAAACTGAAAAAAATTTTTTTTAACTATGGGGAAAAAATTTTATTTAATAAATTTGACTTTGGGGGAAGGGGCCTGTTGCTAATTTTTGGGAAAATAATTTCCCCCAAACCCCTTTGCATTTGAAATTTATATTTCATTTGTTTCTTTTTTGTTTTTTTTATTTATTTTTGCTGTATTTTTATGTTTTGAAAAAAATTTATTAAAAAACTTACTTTTCCCCAAAGATCCCTATGACATCATAACCCTTTTTAGTTTTTTTAAATTTTAAACCAAAACCGCTTTTTTTAATTGGGAATTTTTTTTAAAAAGCCCTTCTTAACAATCTTTTGGGAACACAAATATGGGTTTTAAACTTTTTTTTTTTGTACGTTATATAAGGCAGGTTTTACGCTTGGGTGCATTAAAAATTTGCAACTCCGTAAAGCCATTGGACACGTGATTTTTAAACCCAACCCCAACAGTTTTTTTAATACTAACTTTTACTAGGGGAATTAAAGGAAAGAAACATTGGGCCCTGAAAAGGGCCCAATATAGTATCAGAAAAAATTAAAAAAGTGTTTTTTCCCATTTGTAATTACCCTTTATTAATTTTATTTTTTGTAAATTAATTTTGTAAATTGTAATAGAATTTTTTAAATTTGTTTTTTAAAAATAATTAAAATGTTTATTTTAAAATTTTTGAAATTTTTTTTGAAAAGATTTTTAAGGAAAATAACGTTTTGTTTTGGGGGAAAAGGTATCAAACCAGGGGCTGAAATGTGGAAGTGAAAAAAAAGGGCCCCGGATTAAATTCCCAAGGGGTTTTTAAGGGAAAAAAATTTACCCACATGTTTCAAATTTTTTAAAATTGGGTAAGTTAAGGGTTATAAAAATAAAAAAAAGAAAGGGTTCCTCCCCAAAACGGCCTAAAAGGTTTTAAAATTTTAAAACGTTTTTTTTTAAAAAAACGCCCTTTTTCATGTTTATTTTTAAATTTTTTGGTTTAAAACCATTTAAAGGGGGGCCATGGACAGTAGCTTGAAATTTTCCAAGAAAATTGAACGTAACGACCCCAATCAAACGACCCGAAAACTTTTTTCCAATTTTGCCTTTTTTGGGGGTTTTTTTTTGGGGATAATTTTTTTTCACCTTTGTGTTGTTCTGAAAAACCCTGGTAAATTTCTTTTACGAAATGAGAAATTTGCGAAAACCTTTAAAAAAAAATCCTGTGTAAGTGGAAAATTCATGGGGAAAAAATATATTTTTGGCTCCCTGTTGTAAAAAATTTTAAAAATGATCTTTTTTGAAAAAAATTGGGCCAAAAGTCAAAGTAAAACCAAAATAAAACATTTTTTTGAAATTTATTTTCCAAAAAAAGATCTAAACAAACATTTTTTGCAATATCAGATTGACCGAAAAAGGGATTTTTGGCATTAAGAAAAAGGGAAAAGGGACATTTGGATAACGGGGTACAAAATAGATTAACCCCAAAAAAAATCATAAAAAATTTTCTTTTTTTTAAAGGGGATTTCCCCTGTTTGAAAAAATTTTTAAAAATATTTTGACAAAAAAAAAAAAACGTTATTTTTTAAAGTTTTATAAAATTCCCCAGAAATTTAAAAAATTCAGTAAAACCCTTTTTAAATGGCCCCAAATGTTGAAATTTCGGCTGCGCATTCTGGGTAAGAAAAAAGGGAAATTTAAAAATTGAAACGTGTATGAAAATTTAATAAAGACTTTAATATCTAAATTATGTTTTTATTAAACCAAAAAACAGAAATTTTGGGGGTTTGATTAAAACGCATGCAAAAAACGTCAAATGATATTTATAACAAAATATAATAAATAGGGCGGGGCTTTAAATAATCCAATTAAAAAGGCGCATAAAAAAGAGCCCTTTTTAAAGGGTATCATTAGAAAAATTTTTACACCCGTTATTTAAAAAAAGCGGGGTTTTAAAAGATTAAATTTATTCCCACTGCTTTACAAAATATTACAAAATGTGTATTATCCCTTCTTTTTGGGGGGGCCGGCGGTATTTTTTCAAACGGATTGAACCGACCGGGGGGTTTAGAATTTAAAAAATTCTTTAAACCGGAGGGTTTTAAAACTGAAAATATTAATCCAAAAACAATTTAAAAAATCAAAATTTAATTATATTATATTCCCCAATTCAAAAATTTTTTATTGTTTTGTGAAGTGAAAATTGTGTGATTGCTTTTTAAAAAATTTAAAATGTTTCCCGGGGAACCCGGAATAAATGATGTTTTTTCCTTTTTCTTAAAGTTTTTGAAAAAAAAACTTTTTAAATATTTTTATGGGACCAAAAAAATATCGGGTTTGGGCATCACAGTCAAAAGACAAAATCAGGAAAAACTGAACACAAAAAAGGGCTTTCCCCCGGGGCCTGTTCTGACTTTTTCAAAATGCTAATTAACCTCAAATTTTCTATGTTTTTTAAAAATTTTCTTTTTACTTTTTTAAAACATTTCAAAAAATTTGGGGAAATTTCCTAAAAGGGGATAAATGGTTTTCCCTTTTTGTTCTTACATTTGAATGAATTTTTACAAATATCTTCAAAATTGCCCTTGATAGTTTGAAAAAATATCATATGGGGAAAATTTTGGAAAATTTAATGTGACCCATTTTTTAAAACTTTTGTAATAAAAATTTTATTCTGACCGGGAAATTTTTTTGATAAATTAATTCAAATCTTTAATTCCATTTTTTAAGTAAAACATTTAAAAAAAGTTAAAATATAAAAGTTTATTTTCTAAACCCTTTTGGAAAAACAATTTAAAAATTTATCTTGGGGTTTTAGAGCTTTTTCCAAAAGGGGAAAATCTGATAATAAATAAAAAAAATGGAATCCCTATATAAGAACTCGATTTTTTTCAGCCTTTTCATTGATTGTATTTCCCAAAAGTGCAAAGAAACCCCAAACCCCCGCTAGCACCTTTTAAAGGACAAAATTTATAAAGGGTTTAATGGAAAAAATTTTTAGGGTTAAAAACATAAAAGGGGAAATTTGGGTTAAAAAATTTAAAGATTTTTTTAATTCAAATTTTAAATACGTATAAAAATGATTTTCCCTTTTAGTTTCACCCGCTAAAAGGGGAAGGGGGTTTAAAACCCATAAAAAAACATGAAAACCCAAAATGAATTGAAAAAAACATTTTGAAACCCCAACTTGATATAAAAAGACATTGTAAAAAGCTTAGAAAAGATTCACGCGCCTATTTCTCAACTGGACACTGTAAAGCATGTCCTTTGGTGATAAAAAGATGTGTTCTTATTCCTTTCCAAACATTCTGAAATAGCTTATATGTCATATACAAACAGAAGTTGAAAGCAGTACAAAACAAAACAATATGTTCATATCTCTATTGGATGTTTATCTTCATTTCTTTTTGAACATCTGTACGTGTCAAAATATTTCTTTGTCGCTTGTACTGAACAAATAATAGCCTCATCATTTCAATGAACTGACTGCTTACAACCACGGCATCATAATGTACACATTTTACAAAATTGATATTTATATATTAATATAAAAGTATTATACAAAATTAATATTCAAATATATTAGTTTTAGAATTTGTTTCTTAAAAAAGGATTAGTGTTTCTCGGAATTTGCCACTATTTCGTCATAAGATGGCGGAGGGGCTGATGGACTCAGGTATCCACTCGTGTCTTCATGCGGAACATAAGGCGCTTGATTTGATTGATAATTTGTACCATCATTGTAGCCATAGATAGGGCGAATACTGCCCGGTTGATTCACACCTTGATTTGTTAAGTTTGTTTGTGCAGCATATGGTGGATATGGCGTCATGTTTGTGGGGTAAGGTGATCCCTGATTCACCGGGTACATTGGCTGATTACTAGACTGCATATTTGAAGCGGTGTTCTACAATAAATCAAACATTGACTACAGCTCAAGTCATCGCAATTTATACATAATATATGACAAGAGATATATTTCTTTCTACAACAATTTTTCAAATGTTTTAATTCATGTACTAAACAAAAAGACACACATATATCGTTTCAATCATTTCACAAAATAGACTGATTACTGACTGTTGGTCACTAGTCAGACATAAGATTCTATAGCGTAAAGTATGAAAACATAGCGTAAAGTACAGAAACAAAGATATGTGAATGCTAAACACAAAATGTCAACAAATCGGTAATATGTTTATATATAGCTTCAATTTACTCTGGAAAACATATCATGTGTGATATAAAAACATTGTTATGGCGTTATCAAATCAGGAAGTGTGTGTATTACAATAATAACAAGAGGGCCATGGTGGCCCTGAGTCGCTCACCAGAAACAACTGCTTTTCAGTGTTGGAATGTCAATATATTCTAATATTAAATTTGAGCATAGAATATGTTTAAACAATAATTTGAAGAAATGCCATGACCTGGTGTATTTATGTTTTAGCTTAAACGGGGCTTAAACGGGGCTAATCAAATTAATATGAGCAAACTTGATAAAAGACTACCCAAGAATGCTACAAAGTTTGGTGATAATCTATCAATTATTTCAGTAGGAAATAATGTTCGACGGTTTTTTTTCTATTTTAGCTTTAGTGGCCCCTATAAGGAGCTAATCAAATTTATATTAGTAAACATTTTCAATTTTGTTGTGTTAGGCTGTCTTTAAGGATTCTGTTTTTCTCTATTTTATGGTAACATCAGTGTTATTTGTGTCGTGTGGCGGCCGTAAAAAGTCTCCCCGTACATTTAATCAAAGATGTTATATTTTCGATCCTTGAAGATCGTTCAGCACGACATAATTGTTGTGTATACATGTTATGTGGTATTTTTAGTTTCTTTTATTTGGCCTTTTTCAACTTGGGTGGTTCCAGTATTCCTACTTGAATACTGTCTAATCACCCTTAGGATATGTTGCCTGCTTTTTAAATTGTCTTTTGACGTCTTATCTGTGATATGCAGGCTTCATAACCTCAGATCCCCTTTCAAAATTCCATTTTATTTAGTTCCACCCATTGTTTTTTCGTTTAGGGCACACGCATTTTTTTAATTGGGGACCATACGCCGCTTTTCATGGAATGGCACTTCTGTGTCACATTGAAGGTTCCATGATAACCGCCATATCAACACATCTGCGGATGTTTTAAAATTCAAAATTTCACCATTTTCGTGTTTACATGTTGAATTCTGCTTAAGCCGGTGCCATGGGGCGTGGACGGTAACTTGCACTTTCCAGTAATCAAAGATGTTATATTTTCGATCCTTGAAGATCGTTCAGCACGACATAATTGTTGTGTATACATGTTATGTGGTATTTTTTGTTTCTTTTATTTGGCCTTTTTCAACTTGGGTGGTTCCAGTATTCCTACTTGAATTATGTTGAATCACCCTTAGGATATGTTAACTGCTTTTTAAATTGTCTTTTGACGTCTTATCTGTGATATGCAGGCTTCATAACCTCAGATCCCCTTTCAAAATTCCATTTTATTTAGTTCCACCCATTGTTTTTTCGTTTAGGGCACACGCATTTTTTTAATTGGGGACCATACGCCGCTTTTCATGGAATGGCACTTCTGTGTCACATTGAAGGTTCCATGATAACCGCCATATGAACACATCTGCGGATGTTTTAAAATTCAAAATTTCACCATTTTCGTGTTTAAATGTTGAATTCTGCTTAAGCCGGTGCTAGGGTGCGTGGACGGTAACTTGCACTTTCCAGTACCGTCCATGAACAGGCTCAATCAAACCGAGCCTGCAACATTTTCAATTTTGTTGTGTTAGGCTGTCTTTAAGGATTCTGTTTTTCTCTATTTGATAAAAGAGTACCCTAGAATGCTACAGACAAAGATTGGTGATCATCTTTCAATTGGTTCTGAATGAGAAGATGTTTAAAGGTTTTTTCTATTTTTAGCTTTAGCGGCCCCTAAAAGGGGCCAACCAAATTAATATGAACAAACCTGATAAATAACTACCCAAAAATGCTACAGACAAAGTTTGGTGATCATCCATTTATTAGTTCTGTAGGAGAAAATGTTTAAACGTATTTCTATTTTTAATTTTAGCGACCCATAAAAAGGCTAATCAAATTAATATGAGCAAACTTAATAAAAGACTACCCAATAATGCTACAGACAAAGTTTGGTGATCATCCATCAATAAGTTCTATAGCAATAGACGTGTAAATGTATATCTATTTTTAATTTTAGCGACCCTGAAAGGGGCCAATCAAAATAATATTAGCAAACTTGATAAAAGACTACCCAAGAATGCTACAGACAAAGTTCGGTGATCATCCATCAATTAGTTCTCTAGAAATAGACATTTAAATGTATTTCTATTTTCAGCTTTTGCGACCCCTAAAAGGGGCCAATCAAATTCATATGAGCAAACTTGATAAAAGAGCACCAAGAATGCTACAGACAAAGTTCGGTGATCATCCATCAATTAGTTCTCTAGAAATAGACATTTAATGGTATTTCTATTTTTAGCTATAGAGACCCATAAAAGGGGCTAATAAAATAAATATGAGCAAAATTGATAAAAGAGTACCCAAGAATGCTACAGATAAAGTTTGGTGATCTTCCATCAATAAGTTCTCTAGAAATAGACATTTAAATGTATTTCTATTTTCAGCTTTTGCGACCCCTAAAAGGGGCCAATCAAATTCATGTGAGCAAACTTGATAAAAGACTACCCGAGAATGCTACCGACAAAGTTTAGTGATCATCCATCGATTAGTTCTGTAGGAGAAGATGTTTAAATGTTTTTCTATTTTTAGCCCTAGAGACCCCTAAAAGGGGCCAATCAAAATAATATGAGCAAACTTGATTAAACACTACCAAAGAATGATACAGACAAATTTTGGTGATCAACCATCAATTAGTTCTCTAGAAATAGACATTTAACGGTATTTCTATTTTCAGCTTTAGCGGCCCCTAAAAGGGGCCAATCAAATTAATATGAGCAAACTTGATAAAACACTACCCGAGAATGCTACAAACAAAGTTTGGTGATCAACCATCAATAAGTTCTGTAGGAGAAGATGTTTAAAGGTTTTTCTATTTTTAGTCCTAGAGACCCCTAAAAGGGGCCAATCAAATTCATACGAGCAAACTTGATAAAAGACTACCCAAGAATGTTACAGACAAAGTTTGGTGATCATCCAACCATTAGTTCTGTAGAAAAAGATGTTTAAAAGTTTTTCTATTTTTAGCCCTAGAGACCCCTTAAAGGGGCCAATCAAATTGATATGAGCAAACTTGATAAAAGACTACCCAAAAATAATACAGACAAAGTTTGGTGATCATCCATCCATTAATTCTGTAGAAGACGATGTTTAAAGGTTTTTCTATTTTTAGCTCTGCTGACCCCTAAAAGGGGCAAATTGGATTGATTGACATGAGCAAATTCAAGTGTGACTGTCACAAGGATGCTACTGACCAAATTTGAAGTAAATCTGCATAGTAGTTTCAGCGAAGAAGACGATTGGTGACGCATGACGACGGACAACGGACGCCGGAGCATCCCCCTTTGATTCTAATAGCTCACCCTGAGCCTTCGGCTCTTGTGAGCTAATAAATTATTTTTGTAAATACAAGTATTGTAATACTTATTGGGAAATAAAAGTGTCATTTGTTTTCAAAAACTGAGCAGCTGCACATTGGAACACGAAACTGACGATTGTTTGAGTTACAGATAATTTCATCAGACAAATTTATGCAGAAAGGAGTAAAATGTCCTAGTTAATTGATGCAAACACAGATTTTAAAACATTTTGATGAAAACTTCGTGTATAAGACATATGAACAAAACGGATTCAAATTTTTAATGTAATCACCAGTTACTAAGAAACAAACGTCATTATCTTAATAATGACACGAAATAAGTGATGTTGATAAAAGGCTGTTATGTACAAGAGATAATCAAATAGCATACCTGCACCGTGCCAGAAGTACCCTTGCTGCGTCTCATGCAACAAAAACAACACACGACAATGCTGATGATCAACCCTACACCAACAATACTTCCTATGACTATACCAATAACAACACCATTTGTAAGGTCACAACCGGAACCATCTCCACACGAATCGTAACCATTGCATTTAATGTCTTCATCTATACACCGTGAATTGTCACACACATGACCATAACTTGGACATGATCCTAGAAAAGTTATAATTTAAGGTACGTGAATTTGTATTAGACAAACAACATAAGCCAGTTAAAATGAAAGAGGTAAACGGAATCCGTAAAGAAAGCACAAAACAAAACAAGAGGGCCATGATGGCCCTAAGTCGCTTACCAGAAACAACTGCTATTCAGTGTTGGAATGTCAATATTTTCTAATTTTAAATTTAACCAAAGAGTATGTTTAAACAATAATTTGAAGAAATGCCATGACCTGGGGCATTTAAGCTTTAGCTTAAACGGAGCTTATCAAATTAATATGAGCAAACTTGGTAAAAGACTACCTAAGAATGCTACAAAGTTTGGTGATCATCTATCAATAATTTAAGTAGGACATGATTTTCTATTTTTAGCTTTAGTGGCCCCTTAAAATGGGCTAATCAAATTAATATAAGCAAACTTGATAAAAAGAGTACCCAAGAATGCTACAGAAAAAGTTTGGTGATCATCCATCAATTGGTTCTGAAGTAGAAGATGTTTAAAGGTTTTTCTATTTTTAGCTTGAGCAGCCCCGAAAAGGGGTCAATCAATTAATATGAGCAAACTTGATAAAAACACTACCCAAGAATGCTACTGACAAAGTTTGGTGATCATCCATAAATTAGTTCGTTAGAAATAGACATTAAACGGTATTTCTATTTTTAGCTTTAGCGGCCCCTAAAAGGGGTCAATCAAATTAATATGAGCAAACTTGATAAAACACTACCCGAGAATGCTACAAACAAAGTTTTTGTGATCATCCATCAATTAGTTCTGTAGGAGAAGATGTTTAATGGTTTTTCTATTTTTAGCCCTAGAGACCCTTAAAAGGGGCGAATCAAAATAATATTAGCAAACTTGATAAAAGATTACCCAAACATGCTACAGACACAGTTTGGTGATCATCCATCCATTAGTTCTGTAGAAGAAGATGTTTAAACTTATTTCTATTTTTAATTTAAGCGGCCCCTAAAAGGGGCTAATCAAATTAATATGAGCAAACTTGATTAAAGACTACCAAACAACGCTACAGAAAAAGTTTGGTGATCATCTATCCATTAGTTCTGTAGAAATAGACGTTTGAAGGTATTTCTATTTTTAGCTTAAGCGGCCCCTAGAAAGGGCCAATCAAATTCATATGAGCAAACTTGATAAAAGACTACCCATGAATGCTACAGACAAACTTTTGTGATCATCCATCAGTTAGATCTGCAGAAGAAGATATCTAAAGTTTTTTCTATTTTTAGCTATAGAGACCCCTAACTTGATAAAAGCGTACCCACGAATGCTACATACAAAGTTTGTGGATCATCCATCAATTTGTTCTGTAGGAATAGACATTTAAAGGTATTTCTGTTTTTAGCTTTTGCGGCCTCTAAAAGGGGCCAATCAAAATAATATTAGCAAACTTGATAAAAGACTACCCAGCAATGCTACAGACAAAGTTTGGTGATCATCCATCAATTAGTTCTCTAGGAATAGACATTTAACGGTATTTCTATTTTTAGCTTAAGCGGCCCCTAAAAGGGGACAATCAAATTAATATGAGCAAACTTGATAAAACACTACCCAAGAATGCTACAGACAAAGTTTGGTGATCATCCATAAATTAGTTCGTTAGAAATAGACATTAAACGGTATTTCTATTTTTAGCTTTAGCGGCCCCTTAAAGGGGCCAATCAAATTAATATGTGCAAACTTGATAAAACACTACCCGAGAATGCTACAGACAAAGTTTTTGTGATCATCCATCAATTAGTTCTGTAGGAGAAGATGTTTAATGGTTTTTCTATTTTTAGCCCTAGAGACCCTTAAAAGGGGCTAATCAAAATAATATTAGCAAACTTGATAAAAGACTAACTAAGAATGCTACAGACAAATTTTGGTGATCATCCATCAATTAGTTCTGTAGAAAATGACGTTTAAATATTTTTCTATTTTTAACTTAAGCGGCCCCTAAAAGGGGCCAATCAAATTCATATGAGCAAATTTGATAAAAGACTTCACAAGAATGCTACAGACAAAGTTTGGTGATCATCCATCCATTAGTTCTGTAGAAGAAAATATCTAAAGATTTTTCTATTTTTAGCCCTAGAGACCCCTAAAAGGAGCCAATCAAAATCATATGAGCAAACTTGATAAAAGACTACCCAAGAATGCTACAGACAAAGTTTGGTGATCATCCATCAATTAGTTCTGTAGAAGAAGATGTTTAAAGGTTTTTCTATTATTAGCTCTGCTGACCCCTAAAAGGGGCCAATTGGAATGACATGAGCAAATTCAAGTGTGACTTTCACAAGGATGATACAAACCAAATTTGAAGTAAATCTCCTTAGTAGTTTCAGAGAAGAAGACGATTGTTGACGCATGACGACGGACGACGGACGCCGGAGCATCCCCCCTTTGATACTAATAGCTCAATTTGATTCATTTGAATACAAATGATGACAATGAAATAATTAATAAAAACGATGAAATAAAGATGAAAATCTCAGACTTGGTCGAAAAAGTGATTCCTTCTGAAAATGCATAGGACAGGTAGCCTTTATACATCATGTAATTCTATTCTTACCTTCATCACCAAAACTTGTTATAATAATGGAGAATACGTCAGAGATATATTGGCTTTTCACAGGTACATACTTGATTCGGATATATCGACTGTTAACTGTATATACACCTTCTGGCTTTGACATACCACAAACATCGTATTCTAGTCCTATATTAGGAAATTGTAGATCGCTTCAGAAATTGTAAAACAAATTTATATAATGCACATTAGAAAGGGGAAATTAATACCAGTATGTACTAAACAGGAACCCGCTTTATCTATGGTAAAGATGGTAAAGATAATATCGCACACACGATTGTACACGGACCTTTAGTGTTTACTGAAAATATGAAATTGTAACATAAAACCATATTACAAAAAGTAAACATTGTTACCTTGAACTCGAATATTCGAATTCTCATTGTCATAAAATTCAAGATGACCTTTATCGCAGTCAAGGTTTAAATCCTCAAAATAGAACATTAATTTTGTAAAGGAGGTGTACCACGCTCACAATAGTCAACCGTTTCGTACTGGTAACGTGTGCTTGGTTTTTGGTAAAGCTAGTATAGCACACACGATTGCACACGGAACTTTAGTGTTCATTGAAATTATGAAATTGTAACATAAAACCATATTACAAATATTAGACATTATTACCTTGAACACGAATATTCGAATTCTCATCGTCATAAAATTCAAGATGACCTTTATCGCAGTCAAGGTTTAAATCCTCAAAATAGAACATTAATTTTGAAAAGGAGATGTACCAAGCTTCTACTGTTGTTTCACAATAGCCAACCGTTTCGTATGGGTAACGTGTGCTTGGTTTTTCAAAAAGATTGTCGTCGGTAAGTTGAAGCTTTGTTTGATATAAGGATTCCAGGACGAAACTCAACTCCTTGTTACAAAAGTCTTCCATGCGAACTGAAAGTAAATTAAAGTTATCAGATAATTACAAAATAAAATAGAGAAAAACGGAATCGCTAAAGAAAGTCCAACACGACAAAATTGAAAATGTTGCAGGCTCGGTCTGCTCATGGAAAGTACTGGAAAGTGCAAGTTACAGTCCACGTAGAATTCAACATTTAACAAGAAAACTGTGAAATTTTGAATTTAGAAACATCCGCAGATGTGTTCATACGGCGGTTATCGTGGAATCTTCAATGTGACACAGTAGTGTCATTCCATGAAAAGCGGCGTATATTCCCCGTGTAAAAGAATGTTTTACTGCCCTTAACGAGAAAACAATTTGCGGAACAAAATAAAATGGAATTTTGAAAGGGGATCTGAGGTTATTTATGAAGCCTGCATATCAAAGATAAGATGTCAAAAGACAAAAATTAAAAGCCGGCAACATATCATAAGATGGTTAATCGAATATAGATAAGGTCTTATCGTAACTTATTTTAGATAGCATATACCTTTCTGTAAAATCAAAATTATACGTTTATCTCATAAAGATAGCAAGAAATTGAAACATTTAAGGACAACATAAACGGCAAAATTGCAAATGTTGCAGACTTGGTCTGATTTTAGCCTATTCATGGACGTCAGTGGAAATACAGGTCGCTGCCCATGCCTAATGTAAGCCACATTAAACATTTAAAGATCCTGTATGTTTTGTGATTGATATTGTTACTGTGTATACCACACTTGCAAAATATAATTATGCAAATAAAACAATTTTCCATTATTGAAGAATATGTAAAATGTGTACTGCAAATATTTGTGCACATTATATTTAATCAATAAATTACCTGCATTCATTTCTTATTGGAAAATTTGACTTAGAATTTATAGAAAATTTCTAATTATCTCCCTTTATTAACATGAAATGTTAAATTGGGTAATATCTTTATAAATAATGCTAATTGGAACTTACAATATTGACAAATCTTAATTTGAGCATCATATTAATAAAATAAAACCATGAAAAAATTGTGTTACAGGATCTTTTAACATGATTATGGTGAAATTGTGAAAATTAATACAAGTAATAATTATAATTTATAATCGTCTTAACTCTTAAGGAATAACAAATATCTATATTTTTCTTTAATGTGTCTGTATGCGATAACCTTATAAAATTCAATATGTTTGAACAGGTATTCAAAGCTGCCCGACCCCATATGCAGCTATCAAACAATAAAAGTTTTTCATTTTCCTTATATCAAGATACTTTAGTAGTTCTTGTTTTGTTTTGCTGTTGTTGCTGCTGCTGCTGCTGCTGCTGCTGCTGCTGCTGCTGTTGTTGATGATGTTGTTTTGATGATGATAATGCATGATGATGATGTCTTTGGTGTTTGTGTTGTTTTTGTTTTTATTCAGCAATCGGCATGAATATACATTTGGCCATTTTCAAATATATTTTATACATTATAATTATCATTATTATTATTCTTGTTTTGACACGTAATTTAAGATATTTTCTATATAATAGCTAATTAATACTAAAATTATTTTAACGAGTATAATAAACTTATATCAACACTGATCAATTTCATTAAATTTATAATTTTCATATAAATTGCCATATGATATTGGTACGCCCTGCTTTAATAGTTATATTATAGCGGGCAAAAATCAGGTCAGCATACATTATGTTTTTTTTTAATGTTCATTCGTTGATCGTTATACTTATACACGCACACGAAATACAATATCATTATTATAACAAGGACATAAATCATACAATGGCAGAGGTGTAAGCAATGTATTATAATTATAACTAGGACATAAACCATGGTACAATGGCAGAGGTGTAAGCAATGTATTATAATTATAACTAGGACATAAATCATACAATGGCAGAGGTGTAAGCAATGTATTATAATTATAACTAGAACAAAAACCATACAATTATCTCTATTCATACAACTGTAACAATGTTAGATAATTCTTTGTTATTTGTAAACTGCCCTCTTTATGTTAACAGCGTACAGATCGATTATTTAATGACTTACGTTCGCCAAAAGATCCATGTATAACGATCAATAACACTCCTAACACATATATCTTAATCTTACTAAACATCGCTGTTTTAATTCGAAGCTAAATATAATAAGTTCTTCCAAGATGGCGCTACGGGTGCATTTATATTGCGAAACTATCAGGTATACACTGTATCGACAAACCATGGAGTCACGTGACTTTAACACACACACGGCTGCTGTTGTAAATACTACACATTTACTATAGTGATTGAAGTAACCACATTAATTACTGATAAGCCCAAGTATCAGATCAAATTACAAATGAGCCTCTATTAATAGACATATCTACTTAGTATTTAAAATGATTGAAATGATTTTTAAGTTCTTACATTTGATAACGAACATAATATACAGACATATCTTTCTAGATCTTTGCAATAATTAACATCTCATAAGAAAAAATTATCATCATAGAAATAAGTTTAAAGAAAATAATAGTGATCCATGTTTTAAACATTTGATAATAAAATTTTATATCTGAGCCAGATATTTGTTGACCAATTAATTGAAAATTTTAATTCAATTATTGTAAGTTAAACTTTTACAAAAAAAAGTTTAAATATTAAAAGTATAATTTCTAAACCCTATGTAAAACTACTTCGGTTAGAGCTGCTAAAAATGTATCTTTGAATATTGGGTACTCCAGTCTCGGTATGTAGTGTATCCCCTCTCTCAGAAGAAGGTGTGTAAGTCTATCACTATGTTGATGATACCTTTTTTTGGAGATTCATAGGAAAATACTGATAGATAAAAATAGAGAAAACGGAATCTCTAAAGAATGCTCAAAACGACAAAATTGAAAATGTTGCAGGCTTGGTTTGATTGAGCCTGTTCATGAATGGTACTGGAAAGTGCAAGGTACGTACCGCTCATGCCTCTTAGCACCGGCTTAAGCAGAATCACGAAAATGATGAAATTTTGAATTAAGAGACATCGGCAGATGTATTCATACGGCGGTTATCATGGATCCTTCAATTTGACACTTAATTTCACTTACACGAAAAGCAGTGTATGGTCCCCCGAAAAATGCCTGTGCTCTTAACTAGAAAACAATGGGCGGAACTAAACACAGTGGAACTTTGAAAGGGGGTTTGAGGTTATGAACCTGCATATCACAGATAAGACGCCAAAAGACAAATTTGCCCCCATATCCTAAGGGTGATTGATAATACAGTGTTCAAGTAGAAAAACTGCAACCACCCAAGTTGAAAAACGTCAAATAGAAGAAAAATAAAAATACCACAAACATGTACACACAACAATAATGTCGTGCTATACGACCTCCAAGGACCGAAAATATAGCATTTGTCATTAAATTTACGGGGCGGCTTTTTACTGCCTCCACATGGCACAAGGTACTGGAAAGTGCAAGTTACCGTCCACGTACGCTAGCACCGGCTTAAGGAGTATTCAACATTTAAACATGTAGTGGTATAATTTTTTACTTAGAAACATCAGCAAATGTGATCATACGGGGTTATCATGGAACATTCAATATGACACGTAATAGTGCCATTCCATGAAAAGCGGCGTAAAAAATGAAGTAGTGGCATTTCTCAACAACATTTTCAATTTTGTCGTTAGGGTGTTCTTTATGGGTTCCGTTTTTCTCTATTGTAAAACAAGGGAAGTAAACAATGATGAATTTTCCTGAAAGTTTGTAAGAGTAATGTCTATTTGTTCATCTAGTAGCGTTTTGTAATTTCTGATCGCAGTTTCACGACAAATTAACTACAGCTTAAAACTAGCGATGATAAAGAAAGAAATATTTTTATTTTATTAGTATCCAACTAATTACAACGCATTCAAAGTTTATAAGTAGCGTTGTCTTATAGAATTGTCAATAAATGCACAATCACAAATTACGCGGATGAATATGATTTTAATCAATGAAAATGCTATTTTTAGCGATGTCGATTACCGAATACACAAATAAATCTGTGGGATATTTACATGTCGGACTGTTTTGGCGAGAAGATTTTCGCTAAATTATTTACATCAATGTTAAACAACAGGTTTATCGTGAACAAAATACCTCGAAATTAAAAAGGAATGAAAATTCCAAATTTAGAATTATTTTATTTTATACAGGCTTCTCGTGTAATTTCCCCGTGGTGCAGAGGTAATGTGCTCGTTAAGGGTATGAGAGGTCTGGGGTTCAGATCCCAGTCGAGGCAACTACTTTTTTAAGTGTCTTTTTTTAAGGAAGTATAACCACGATATGCAAGGATAAAGTGCGGCTGTCATAAAAAATGAACATAAATGATTTCATGATGCAACTCTAGTCATGCAAAATTCCGTATGTATCAAACTCAAACTGTTATAGTAAAAAGTCTAAACGCTGTCGCTGCATCTCGGTGCCCTGCAAAATGTATTATAGTATATAAAAATAAACTTATACAGGAAAATACAAACAGATATACAGTACGATTTAGATTGCAAAGATCAGAAAATACCACAGAGCTTGCAGCCCTTTGATTATTATCTATTTTCATCTTGATATGATTTTTCATATGTGTATTTTTATACATTGTATATCAAAACTTTTATTATGGGTAATTGTGGCTTTGTCAATTTTGTTTTGTTGTACTATTTCCAAACGAATACACTTTCGACGTCGTCTTCTCCTTTATTTTGTTCTTCTACTTCTATTCAGTGGTTACATGAACTGTAGCAGCTAAGTCAATTTATTAATCATTATTAATCAACATCAAAAAAAATCTTACATTCATTTTGCCAATGTACAAAAAAATAATATCTTATTTCAATATTTGACGTTTTCTCTGTCGTAAATACACTTAACAGTATTTTGAATTGGTGACCCCTAATATGCATTGTTTCGTAAAGGTCTTAGCAACTTCAACCTTTATTTTCTTACTTATTGTTCTGGTTGTGGTCTCTATTATAACAACGTTTTCATGTTAAAACCAACCATGTGTAATCAAAGTATAAAAAGCAAAGCAACATGATAAATTCAACCTTATATACCGGGTATTGAATTTTTAATCAGAGAAACATCAAATATGCCGACAATAACAATATAGGAAGGCCGTCTTTTTCGGCCCCCAGAATCCTTTATCGTCTTGGTTTAGTGCACCATGAGGTTTGGTGCACAATTAACCGGTTTAAACTCCCCAGCAGTACTTGTGCTAGTGACCGTTCCAAGGCGGCGCCCCTCTGTGTTCTTCAGATGTATGTCTATGTTGTTTCATACTGTTTTGGTGACACTTTTTCTTGTGTTCCTTGTTGTTTTCTCGTCTACGGTAAGTATCTTCCCCTTTGCCCCTAGTCTTTATTTTTTTTAATTTACCTTACCCCCCCCCCCCCCCCCAGGTCTCCTGTCCCCTCCCCCTGTGCCCTTTGACTTTGTGGGCATATTATTCAATCATTTATTTATTTTCTTTAAAGTCGACCTATTTTTCAATCAGTGATTTGTTTTCTTTAAAATCCTTATCAGTTGCAAATTATTTCCTATAATTAAATCATATCAGTTACAAATTATTAATCATTTTAGTGATTAGCCTGTCCGTGCTCTGCCTTGTGCCCTGTCCTGATTTTGTTTGGGTCCGCCTGGGCTCCTTGCCACTGGTTCTTGTTGCTGGGTCGTGTGGGGTTGCGTTCATTGAACGCCGCCTTTCCTCGTTGATCTTGTTTATCATATTTGGAAATACATTTCATATGTCACTGAACGATTTAAAAAAAAAATAACCTAGAGCAGAGCATTTTTCTGAAACTTTGCATGGTTGGAAATATGGTATTGAAACAAATTTACAAAAAAAATAAAAATAAACGTCATCATCCTACATATGAGTTATCTGCCCCTAACTGTTAGTTTTGTTGTTTAAAATCATGTTCAAGAGCAGATAACTCAAAATCATGCACTTCGTTATCGTATGTTAATTCAAATAATTTATAGTTATTTCCTTGGTTATGGCAATTTTTATTTTATCGAACAGTCTTTGTTACTATGCTTCAATAAATAAACCTACCTGGAATATAATTTCTATCATTTCGCATAAGCAACTGTAGATATAATATTTGTCACATAGAATTTTTAATATTACATGTATACAAATTTGCAATACCCTTAATATATTTATCATTAATTGAAAAGGGCCATATATGATTAAATGATTATAGATCTGATATGCAGTTCAGCTATATTTGATTATATCCCTGTTTAGCAGTATCAGGTCAGACACGCACATTGATTTTACATAGACTTACATTATAAGAAATGGTCCCTAATCCTACCTTAAAATTGAGTTTTCATGCTAAAGAGGTGATTTTTTCTAGCAGAATGAAATGCCTGACATATAAAAATGTTCCTGTTGTATAACCTTTTTTTTGCAAAATGACTTCAAAGAGGATTACCCCCCCCCCCCCCATATCATTGAAATTTTCTGCTGATCACAGGACTGACATACACTTTTTATAAATGCAAATATCCAATCACCTCATGTCCAATTGATTCATATGGTTTTCCCTGCACTTTTTTCAGCCAATCTCTGGCCTGGCCATGTTACAATGCAATACTCTGACCATCGTGTAGATGTAGATTCATATTATTTAAATAACGAAAAGAAACTCTTTTCGCTCTTTGAGTGCACTTCGTTTATTCTCCGAATAATAGTGTGTAATCCGAAGAATAAACCACAAGATGGCTACGGTAGAATGTTGACATCGGATACGGAGGATAAATGTGGTGTTAATAATTTGTATTAGCAGTAAATTAGTGATTTTAATGGATAACTTTGTGATAAATTAAGTTTTGTATTTGAAAATTGTTAAAGGTAATGATGTTATTTACATTCCTAGTTGTATTCAATTATCAAATTTTTGTACAGATTATAGTAGGTGGGTGGGGTGACATGAAAAAGTTTCCAAACTGGTTTGAACTTTTAATAACACAAGTTCTTTCCAATATTAATTTTGTCATTTGACTTGAAAAAAAGTCTTTTAACCTGTATTTGTTTTCTTGAAAATATTTTAGTGCATATAAATTTAATAATATTTGATAAGAAAAATCAAATCATATCATAAAAATCGAAGATCGATATTTAAAGATTTAATGTTGATTAAATAATAAAGGCACAATTCATTCGCATGTTTGGCTTGGAAACCGAGAATTTTTGCGAAATTTTAGGGTTTCTGGCGAACGTGAAATCGCCGATGTTCTAGATCAATTTTCGGATATCAAAGAAAAGGGTATGTGTATTTTGGTTTGTTGTTTGCAAGAATGAAACTAAAGCAAAATTGTTTCTAGAAAATGCCGAAAATATTCGACAATCATTCAAAATTACACTCATTTGTAATCTTTAAACTTGCGGCGTAAATAGTCGATAATTTTATCCTTTTGTCGGTAAAATTTGCTAATTTCCAATCTACTGTTGATCAAAGATATAAAATTATCACCTCGTGTCATATCTGGTAATTGTATGCACTGTACAGCACGTGTATACATTAGTCTGATCACTATTGCGTGATAATGATCGGAAGCGTTATCGCTGATTGGCTAATCGCTTCACGGGTCGATGTGCATAGGACCGCCTACCTATAGACTGACACGCGCTGACACATTTGTGTATTTGTGGTTGTAAACAATCGGTAATGTTTATGCGTCCCCAGGCAAAATAAAGCGTACGTGGAATCCTTGCTCTGAAATATTTGCGTCCAGCTGTAATAAACATGCATACCGGGACGCCGAAATAAGCGTCCCCGAGAACCCTGAATAATGAACTATATAGTCCTTCGTTGAAAGACATCACAACAGTTTGACGTTTATCGGAAAATGCGAACTCTTTCCATGACTAGCAAATTTCCTATAGCACAAATCAATATTCTTCTCGAGTCGATTCAAAATTACTGGTAAGTGACGACTTAAATGTTACATTGTATTTATCAAAAAAAGCAACAGATTGCATAAAAAATGGAAGCATCTTTTTCTCAAGTACAGTTTAAATATACAAAAATAACTCTCGATAAACAGTGTATTTATCCATTTATTTAAGAAGACACATGAAAGACATTTTGTGTTGCATATTCGAAATTCCAGGTTGCGCTGTGAAGTCACTCGTAAACATAATACAAAATAAGTCTGAACGAAATTTTTTTTCTCTTGGGATCTTTGGCACTTAGAGAAACACGCAATAAAAATTTTGTCTCAATATTTTGGTTATTGTAACCTGCACTATAGGTTATACACCAATATGGAGGCTGTCTACACTGTACAGGGATTGTGTTAAGTTGTTTAAAAGTTGAATAAGTTGTTTTTGAGAAGGAAAATACACATTTGTGGTTGGATAACATTCATCGAATTTAGAACTGGCCCGGTGGCCCATGGCCAGTATATTAGTTTGGTCCAGTGTAAAATTTAAGACAATTTAGTGAAATATTAGAATAAATTCAAAACTGGAATTCGGGCCAGTAAATTCAAAACCTTAAATACAATGACTTGGATTATGAATACCAAGCATTATTTGTAACATGTCACAAGGGAAGTTTTGAATGATTGTGCCTTTTCATTGTTTTTAATTTTGCAATGGACTTTTGAATAGATAGATATCTTAAAACGTTAAATCGGATTTGACCAATATAAAAAATAGCTTACATCTAAATATTTGGACTTAAAGAACAAAACTGCTAAATATGTTGTATTAGCTACTATATAACATAAGGTTGACAAAACCCCTTTCATAAATGAAATTTGTTTAACTGGTAGTTTGACGAACCACTCTTATTTTATTATACTAAATTTAATAATCTAAGGGGAACTACTCTGTTTCCCTGTTTTTCGTATTTTTCAAAAATGTATTAAAAAGTAAAAATATTGTGAAGTGAACAAAGAAAGTAGTTTTCACAATGCAACGGCATTGACAATCCATGCAAATTCATTACCAAAAATGAATCAAAATATGCAAAAAATAGCCCTTACTGTGTTAGTTATATGCAGCAGAAATATGGGGGTAAATACTGTGTTATAAGTCATAAATCACACATAACATGTACATTATTATTATTTGAATTGTGAATCTTTTTACTTTGGTTAATATTATTTTACATTTTTCTCTACTTTAATATTTTTTTAAATTGTTGTCTAATCTTGAGGCATGCAGCTTTATTTCTCATGTAAGGCATTTATCATGAGTAATGGTGGTGGTAGTAGTTTTCACTCCATATCATGACAGTAAGCCACATTGAATTCACCAGAGCACAGTACAACCACCACAGCGTTCCTGGGCAGCCTGTCAAGCAGTTAACCAGTACTAGTTGACTTCACTTTGGCAAGGAACTTAAACTTCTGTACATACTACATGCCAGAGCAGAGGTACAGTGGCAATGACCATAGAAAGGATTTCATGATCCATCACAACGAAAGTGACCTGCTCCGTCCAGAATTGAACATGATCATATAGAATGATATCTATAATCAATAATGCATTAATATCCAGACAGTTTCCTGACGAAAAAGAAAATAAAAAGATATTGTAATGCCAAAATGATGTTTGTTTTTATAATTAATTTAGAAAGTAAAATATTTTCTCATTTAATTACGATTATATACTAGAAACTTCTTTAAGTTGATTAATTTATCACAATTAGAAAAAAGATTGGTAATGAACATAAAAATCATGCATTAAAGACTGTAGAAATTCTATGTACAAAACTTATTGTTTTGATTTGACATGCAAAATCCTCAATTTGAACAATTGTTGCTCTAATGAAATTGTTTTGAAATATTAATGGTTTTATGTCTCTAGTGCTACACAGTAGCTGAAACATGCTACAAAGTAGCTGTGAAGCATATAGGCAACTTTCAAATCTTCCTTCAATACAACTGTTTAATTGGCTTGTGTGCTACCTGATTGCTTTTGTCAGAAGATAACAATACTTACAGGTGATTCATTGATTTTTAAGGTATTGTTACAGATGAAAAACATTTTGCATATAATGTTTATTTTACCAAACTTTATCAAACTTTCCATGTGTTTGCTATTGTCAGGTTCTAAATAAGAAAACAATGAAATACCCCATTCCCCCAAAAACAACAACAACATTTAAGTGTATATTTGATCACATAGAGCTTAAAGCATACATTTTAAATAAATAAATAAATAATTTTTATGCTATGGCATGGTTGAATACACAATCATGTAATGATTGATGTACTGTATAGGATATTTATTTAGAAATAGATAAATCAATTGATACTCCTATTTTCTCCAGAATTGAGACCATAAACATACATGTACTTTGTACACATTGTTATGAGCACAATTAGAAAAATATGTACATTATCTATATTAACATTGTCTGACATTGTAAATTATTTGCAATATGTAGTTATTATATAATTAACATATGATTGCAATATTGCAGGCATTATAAAAATGAATATGAAAAGACATGTGGATAAATAAATTATAATTGTCATTACATTTTTTTTTTAATTCATTTCAATTTTTTTTAATTTTTTTTATCTTTTTACTTTTTAATTGTACTTTGACTTATTTGTCTTTGATTTCAAAACTGGGTAACTTTATGATTTATCAGACATTAGTGAACTTATTACTATATGGCTGTAATGATTACTAGGACCAGATCTAATGACAATACATTTCTGGATTTTTTTCTAGTCCTCAATTAAAGGGACACTGTTGAGGTTTTTTGACATGACAGGATAATATGAAATGTTTTTTTCAAAGAATTGTGTAACATTTGATGTAGGTCTGGATCAATAACTTGTGTGTACATTTTCAGATTATTCCCTCGCCATGTTTTTCCATAATAACTATTTTTATTGTGCAAACTGACCTAAAAATGAAAAGCATTGAGAAGCTATTCACTCAAACCGGGCTAAGCATTGCACTAACTTTTCATTTTCAATTCAGTTCTTAGCATTATTTCTTTAATATTTTCATTTGCAGATTTTCCATGGTAAATGCTTCACTTGATTTATATTTTAAAAAAATTTCATACTTCATGTATTTAAACTTTTTGTCCTCAATGGAAGTTTCTTTAATAGAAAAATAAATCTAACAGCTCTGCAATTCATAATAATAACCTTCAAAAAAAAAAAACGCAACAAAAACAAACAACTAAGCATATAGGTAGTTGTAATATGCAAAATAACACTGTGCAGATCCTAAATGAATGTAATTTATGCAAAATTGATACTGAAAGAAACTCTGGCATTTTAAGTTAAATAACCTTTGAATAATTGAGTTTGTTTCCAGCAGAAAGTTGATAGGAAATCTTTATCTTTTTACTGCTGTTATAGGAACTAATGTAAAAGTCATTCTTGGTATCAAGTTTTGGCTGGCTAACAATAGTAGAAACTCGACAAATTTTGGTTTTTCCCAGCTTAAAATCCCCCCCCCGGTACAAACAAACTTTTACAGTTACAGCTTCACGATGCACTACCGGTCACTATTGATAAGTCTACCTGTTGCACTATCTTTCGAGGCTATAACTGTCAAAAAATTTAATTGTACCCCAGGATTAACAGGGGATTACCCAAAATATTCTATATTCCAGAGTAAGTCTATTTACAAGTTACCCTACTTTAAAAAATGACATAATAAAAATTACATGAAGTCGTGCTTTATTCAATTCTCATCATGTTTCTTCATTTCATTGTATTTATCTTCCAGATATTAAAATACTGAATGCAGCTCGAATAATACCTGTCAGCCAGTGTCAAATTAAACTAGAATTATAGAATTATTAATTTTAGAGATCTCGAACCTTGTGGCTTTATTCCTAAGCCATTGAATCTTTACTTTCATTTTTTTTTTTTTTGGCAATAGCTCATCACTTTTAATTTAAATTGGGAAATTTTAGTGTAGTAATCATGAGAAATACAAGAAAATTCATCAAACCTGGCATATTTGCTGTAAAATTTAATTTATAAGTGGTGTTTTTGGTGTTTTACTGTAACATGCCTAACTTAGGTTGAGCTGGTTGGGGATAATTTTCACCTTTTTTCTTTGGAAATTTCAAGATTTAATGAGAAATTTTTCAAAGATTTGTCATTGGAGGAAGGGACTGCAGTGACAGCTTCTATTTTATGCAAAAGAAAAAAAATCACTGTCAAGTAATCTAAAATGTTTTTCTCCCAGATATGCAAATTGTTTCTATTCTAGACATTAAAAAAAAAAAAGAAATGAGATGCTCCTTAAACTTTTTTTTTTCACTGTAACTTCAATAACTCAGTCGGAAACTAAAATGTTGATTGTTTCAAAGTTTAAAAATAAGATTGAAGAACTTTGCTTTTAATCAAACATTTATGTATATTATAATAATTTATAATAATTTATGGCCTGAGGTGCTCTCTTATGTCAGGTTGGCCACTCAGAGAATTAATTCTTTCTTAAAGTTTTCTTTATAATGTTTATAAATACAGTATTTTTAAAATACCTTTTATTATTTTTATGATTAAAACTAATATGTGTTGAAATAACATAATAACACAATAAGAATAATTATTCTGGGTAATCAGAGTGAGCGAATGATCTGAAATTTTGCATACAAGTTATTGGTCTAGACCTACAACAAATGGAACATAAAAGTTATTTCCAGTCCCATCATGTCAATACTGGTTCATGTATATAGTATATTATGTCTATAGTGCTATTAAAACAGCATTCATATACAGTAAGGATAACAAGTCATTAGAGCTATTTTAAACAAAAATTTCTGATATACAACTAATGCAGCCAGTATGAATGTAGAGAGATTATTGACTATAATACGCTACAGGAAAATGTCAAAAGTTAATACAGTGTTTAAATTGTAAGTGAACTTTCTGTATAAATGTACATCCACTCTGGTACTGTGTTGACTTTACATCAGTGTTGACTTTACATCAGTGTTGACTTTACATCAGTGTTGACTTTACATCAGTGTTGACTTTACATCAGTGTTGACTTTACATCAGTGTTGACTTTACATCAGTGTTGACTTTACATCAGTGTTGACTTTACATCAGTGTTGACTTTACATCAGTGTTGACTTTACGTTAGTGTTGACTTTACATCAGTGTTGACAATGAAAATCAGGAGCTTGCAATTATAATAGTGATAAAGTATAACAAACTATTGATTTTTAAGTTTAATGTGTATGACAAGTCATTCATTCATTGTAAATATTTAATGACTTTATTTCATTTTCCAGTATTTCTATGTGATGCTTAGCAGAAGAGAAAAAAAAAATGAGTGAAAAATATCTTGTGTATTTTCAGTGACTGTTGAGGATAGGAATTTAAGGAATAATGTCGGAGAAGTATACCATCAATGGTCGAATGATGCCCATGGGAGATTACGGTGCAACGAAGAAAAAAGATGAAGATAGGGTGAAGATCTTGCCTGATGATGCTGTAAGTAAATTATATAGTTAATTGATAATCTTAATAACAGGTGTTTCATAAAATACCATGTAGCCAGGTAAAATTTTCATTCATTGTTTTAGGCCACAAGTCGACTTAATGTATATCTAATTTACATGCATTTTTTTTTTTTTGGCAGATACATAAATTATAAAAATCACCAATCTACATTTTATGCACTAATGACCTGTCTCATACAAAATGATAATCCAGGTCCATAAACGAAGTCTGGTCTGTAAAGGAAGTTATCTTTGTTACCCTGCTGTGCTGATAAACTTTGACCTTTCATGTAAATTGATGAAACCTATGATAAAAAAAATTAGCAGTAAAATTTTCATAAACAGTTTTTCAGTTTTACCCTATATAGTGTTCTGTTCATTGTTTTATGAACTGGCTCAGGACCCTTCGAATTGTGAAAATAAGGGCCGCAAAGTGTACTTTTTTGCATTTTATGAATGGGGTCTATTCCGAGCCTAAAACTTTCTGGAAAAAAACATTGAGAAGTTATAAAAAATTTCTCAAGTTACTTGCACTTTATTGCAGATCTTTATAAGTAATAAACCTATAAATAAATATAAAGATGCCATTTAGATAGAATACTTTGACTTTCATTCAAATCCTGACATCCAAAAATATGTGTCTTTAAAGGAAATCTATTGTTAGGAGAGAAAGAGAAACAGAGAATATACTCTGAAAACCTATGTTAAAAAAAAAAATAGTGCAAAATTATACTCTGACATTAAGCTGTTATTTTTTTCAAAAAGATTTATGTCTTGGCAGTCAGTAGCCGAGTGGTTAAGGTTGTTGTCTTCAAACCACTTGCCCGGCCTCACCACCTTGAGCTTGAAATCCCAACAGGGACTTTGGATTCTTTCATGTGAGGAAGCTTTCCAGCTAGCTTATGGAAAGTTGATGATTCTACTTAGGTGCCTGTTCATGCCTGAAATAATGCACGGAGTGGCACCTGAGGTCCAATCCTCTGCCAGTAAAACTGGAACATCGCCATATGACCTATACTGTGGCTGTGTGAGGTAAAACCCAATCAAAACAAACAAACAAACAAATGTCTTAACCAAATGAATAAAGGGATTTCACAGAGCTTTGTCAATAGATTATATATATAAAAAATTATATTCAAGTTAATATTGACTTGTATGTTAAAAATGTTTTCTTAAGTGACAGCTCCAGTGATGTGTGATACCCGTATATATATCTTCATCACCGCTAACACAAGTTAATTATTACCAGACATGCAGTACAACCGTAGGCCATTTTTCTATGTCTGTATCTGTATAAAAATTGTATAACCATATTATACGGTTCCTTGCTCAGACAGAAGTTGTCACATACAAGTCAAGGGCACCAGTATAATTAGATTATTTGGCTTCAGCTCAGAAAGCAGTTGTCACTTACATAAGAACAGTATCACCGTATATTTTCCGGTCCCCAGCTCGCAGACAAATATGTCACAAACATTACATTATGTTTAGGGAGCCATTTCTCAGACTGGAGGAAATTAATTCCACCTGTGTATATAGTGTTGTCAAGTACAAGTGTTTTATACGTTATGTTTTCTGAATATTGGTCAGCTTAACAAATTGATGTAATTGACAAGTCTTGTATCAGACATTTTACAATGCTAATTACTTTCTTATATCAATATCTCTAGATAAAACAACTGACTAGACTGGATCTTCTTTATTTAGTTGCATATTTTCTAGCCATACAGCAATTCTATGATAAAATCTTGCAGGCATTATACAGTGTCGTAATTAGATCAAGTTTCATCTAGGGTTAGGGTTACATCATCTAACCTTATAAATAATTAATGACTTGCACAAAAGAATGTAACATGTAATTGAGAGTTACGGTCTCTTAAGATCAAAATCTTTGGAATTTGACTCTGACACTTGGAATTTGTCTCTTGGAATTTGGCTCTAAAGTCTTTGGAATTTGGCTCATAGAATTTAGCTCTGAAATCTTTGGAATATGGCTTAAAACTTCATAATTTCCCAATCCACAAATCTTTAACTATATTTCATATCATTGAATTTAATGGTTAGAGTCACAGTGTTGTTTGTAGCCTTAACCACCAGTGTAGAGCATTAGTACAGTCTGGAAGTAACTAAATTATCATATTTTCCACTAATTTTTCACCATAAACATGTACATATAATAGGGCATCTTCCCAATCAAAATTTTCTTTAAAATCTGAATTTACAGTTATATTGGCTTTTTTACTTCCCAAATTAGCAATTTTAGCAGTGCTTTTTTCCAAAATGAAAAGGCTAAGATCTTGTCCCAATATTAAATGAGAAAATATTAAAATACCTTAAACTTTGAATGGACTGTTTCAAATGCATAATAGTGCAAAATCATCAGGTATATTACCTGTTGCTTTTTTCCCCAGTTTTCATTTTATTCATACTTGTATATCCTGTTTACAAATGTAATTTTAGTATCATTACATGTATATACAATGTCATATAAATATTTTACCTGAAGTTTAGAAATCCTTTTTCATTGTACAGAAGTGTGTGCTAATTGACTTAGAACCCTAGATCATTCTTTTTAAAAATGCAAGTGCATTTAATCTGTTACAAGAATCAATCATATTTTCAGTTAAAATTTTTACTTTTCCCATTAATTTCAATTTGTCTTTATTCATAATCACTCCCTCATGTACATATGGATATGTATATACATGTACTTTATTATATTAAAGTTTAATATTTCATCCACCTATTATAAATCAAATAATAAATTAATTATGTCTCATTGGGTAATTTTAGCATAATGTAAAATTCTAGGTAATCCCACTGAAGCAATTCAATCACAACAAAATTACATGAAAATTGCAGACTCGGTTTGTTTGAGTCTGTACATGAGGGATAATGAAAAAGTGCAATATCCCTCATGCCCCCTAGCACTGGCTTGAACGATTCTCAAATTTCAACACTTAAAAGTGCTGGGCTCAATGATCTGGAATTACCAGAAAAATCAAAACAACACTGAATTACGGGGCAACTTTTTACAGCTGTCCCTTAGCACTTGACACCAGTCCTGTTGTTGTGAAATATAAAAATGTAAAAAAAAACGATGATCCCTCAGAGGGGTTTGGTACTCTCAGTGCCTGAAAGGGCAGATGGACCCTGATTTGAAGCCTAGAATACATACAATACATGATCTCTTGGAGTCTTTGTAAGCTTTGTAAGGTTAATGTTATAATATCAATATCTAAAGTAACCTTGGTCAAATATTTTAAAGGTGTGGGCGGTTATCAGCTATCAAGCATGCCTGCGGTTGTCAGCATATTTATTATGCATTGCCCAGGTTTGTTTTGCCCACATTTATGTTGTATTTGTGTGCTCAGCTGTTCATAATTTAAGTGATGGTGTTTGGGTGCTCAACTGTTACACTACAACAAATACATAAAATCTGAGTCACACATAAGTAAATTTGTATACATATTATATACCACTGCTATGTACGAAACTCTTTCATGCATGCAGTCTACATGTTATATCTTTAATGTTATGATACAATCTATTGATCATAAAAATCATATGACTTCTACCCACCAGTATCGTATGTGTGTATTGAATTGGGATTAAAATTGTGATATTAAACTGGATGTATATAAAATATTTAATTTGCTATATGTGAATGAGACAGTGTGTTATAAGTCAGGAATAAATTAAGTTTTAATTGAATAATAGTATTACAGTATGCTTTGCTAACCTTTACAAAACTATGTTAGAAAAACACTGTATTAAAAGAGAAAATTGTATCTATATATAGAAAATTGTCCACCAGCCTTTTACTTATTCAATGATCTTTCTGTTATTGAGAAAATTGTATTGTCTACAGCTTACAAAAACTCTCTCAGAGGAGTAATTATTTTAGTAGATTAGCTACTTAATTATCTTAGTGTTTTTATACTTCTAGTATACTACTATATTAGACTTGTGTTTGTGTATTTCTCCATATACATTGTATAATACTTTTGTAATTCTTTAAAAAGACTGTTAATCCAGTTTTTAGCTCGACTTTTCTATGAAAAGGGGAGCTATCCTACTCGCCCCGGCGTCGGCGTCGGCGTTGGCGTCGGCGTTGGCGTCACACCTTGGTTAAGTTTTTCGTACCACCCCACTTTATTTCAGAAGTATTACAAGTATGGCTTTGAAACTTACCATACTTGTTCACCATCATAACCTCCATCTACAGACAAGAGTACATAACTCTGTCAAGGTTTTTGACAGAATTATGGCCCTTTTTTGACTTAGAAAGTGTATTGAGCTTGGTTAAGTTTTTTGTACCACCTCACTTTATTTCAAAACCATTGGAGGTATTGCTTTGAAACTGACCATACTTGTTTACCATCACGACCTTCATCAACAGACAAGAGGACATAACTCTGTCAAGGTTTTTGACAGAATTATGCCCCTTTTTGACTTAGAAAATACATTGAATATGGGTAAAATCCACTTATTGCCTTAACCCTTTGAGATATTGCTTTGAAACTTTTAATGCTATTTCACATCATTACCCCATCTGTACGCAAGAGAAGGTAACTCTGTCAAGGATTTGTTTTAAAAATTAAGGCCTTTTATCGACTTAGAATCTTGGTTAAGTTTTTAGTACCAGTCCACTTTTTGACTGAACTGTTTGAGATATTAATTTGAAAGTTGGAATACTTGTTTACAATCATGATTCCCAAACATGTCCAGGAGAAGGTAATTCTGTCAAAGATTTTATTTGAATTATGGCCCTTAACTGTCAATGTTTTGTATTATAGGCAAGCACTAAAAAACTTAAAAAATCTAAAAAAAATTCATTCCTATCCACTTGTTCACTTTACCATAAATTATGTCATAATAAAATAATTCTTCACTAAATATCTTAATGCTCATGGCCATTGTTCACTTTAAAAATACAGAGATTCTTGTATTGCCTTTTACTGCAAAAACTTTTTTTATTGGCAAGCAATA